GGTGTCGTTGATTGGTCTAGAGTTTGTTTGTGAGGCCTTGGAGAAAGTTTAGCTAATTAGAGAAAGACTTAAAGCGGATCAGAGTCGTCAAAAGTCTTATTCTGACAAGAGACATCGTGAGTTAGAGTTCATGGTTGGTGATAAGGTGTTTTTGAAAGTTTCACCAATGAAAGGAGTTATGAGATTTGGTAATAAAGGGAAACTTAGCCCTAGATTTATCGGACCTTATGAAATTCTAGAAAGGAAAGGAAACATGGCTTATAAGCTAGCGCTACCCGTTGAGTTGTCCTCTGTTCATGTTGTCTTTCATGTGTCTATGCTTAGAAAGTATATTCATGATAAATCGCATACAATACATGCCGATAAATTAGAAATTAAAGAAGGCTTGACTTATGAAGAGGTACCTATAGAAATTCTCGATAGACAAGTAAGGAAGTTGAGAACAAAAGATATAGCATCGGTAAAAATTTTGTGGAGTAATCATGACTCAAAAGAAGCTACGCGGGAGGTCGAGGAAGATATGAGGAAGAAGTATCCTTATTTATTTGAGTAACAAGGTATGTAAACCTAGGTTTGGCTTGACATTTATATTTCATTTATTAAATACAATTAGCAAGTGTTTATGTCCTTCCTAGATTATATTTAGTTGTTGTAGTGATTTAGTTTATGCTAGAGTATATTTAATTCATTAAAGTGATTTACTTTTGAGAAAGTATTGTGCTTTAGATTCTTGTTAGTTATTGTGGTACCTCCTTGCCAGAGTATGAGTAATTAGTTTATGAGTTGTGTATGGTGCCTATGAATGGCATGTTATGGTATATTTGGTTGTTGGTGGTGTAGTTGTGGTATTTGTGACAGGGATATTTTTTGGATAGTCCAATTTACAAGGGAAACTCTGCCGAAAATTTTGAAAATTTAGGGAGTTAGCCAAAATTTTGAGTCCTTTGAAAAAGTGAGTAGTGCTAGGAATTAAGAGGTTCAAGGACCTAACAGAATGATTGTTAGCTTAAGAAAAAAGGCCCTAGCAACATTCGAGGATGAATGTTTTTAAGGAGGGAAGATTGTAACACTCCTCAAATTTATAAAAGTTTCAAGATACGCTAATTATAGAACTGAATTATTATTATTACTATTATTTTATCTTGCCTATAATGAAATATATATATATATATAATTGGATATATAATTAGGGGAAAATTAATAATTTTAATATCAGTTATATTTAAAAGTAGGTATCATTAATTATTAGTTAAGGCAAAACAAAACAAAAAGACAAAAATAATAAAACAAAAAAAAAGGCTTAAAGCCTTGAAAAGGGTAAGAAACGTGTGTCATTCAAAAAGCAAAGGCTTAAAGCCTTAAAGCAATACAGAACTAATGTTCTGTTTATTCACGACAGGCATAGAAAACGTTTAAAGCCTTACGAACAGAGGCAGCCAGGAATTGCTCACTCATGGAAAAATTCTAGGGTTCATTATAACTCACTTATTCTCGAACTCAGGCATAAAAAATTTCCTATTGTCAATTATCCTAAAGTAGTAACAGGTAAGAATTGAATAGTTAATTCTCTTCTTCCTCTATATCAATAGTAAATTCCATGTTTAGGTGTGAAACTTTAAAATTGACTAAAATGTATTGGTTGTTGTAGAATCGATTGTTTGACGGGTATAAATTGGACTGGGGTCTACGTATTGGCTCAAGGAGTTTTGAGGTGAGTTGATATAACCCTTTACTAAAGTGATTTAACTCACAAAAGCACGCACACAAGGTATTTGATGAATTGCATAAAAGAGTTAATATATACTTAATTGGAGTAGTAAGTGCCTATTAGCTTAGAATTATTTTCTAGCTAAAGTTTAGATGATTATTTGGATTTATGTGCATAAATTTTAGGTTTTTATGTTATTCTTATATGCCATCTTCATGTTGAAAATTCATGAAGGATCAATAATCTTTATAAATACTTTTGAATGTTTATTCCATTCTTATGTCATGCCTTACATTTAAGGATACCAATGTGAGTATGTATAAAAGATTTAGACTTGCAAAGTGACAAGAAGAAGTTTTAGAAAGAAGAAATTTTTGGGAGTATCCTTTATTCTGAGAAGGGGTCATCGTCCAGGCCTAGGGTCCTGACCAAGGCGTTGACTTCCTGAAACTACTTGTGCCAAAGTAGGGAGCACACGAGCCGAGAGTCTCGTTGCTGAGAATTTACTTAGCCATGATAAGATATGATACATGAGTGTTGAGAACCATAAAGCGAGTGACACCTCGTGGATTGGGCCTTTTCGATAAGGTTGGGATCGAACCCGTGCCGATCACACGGTGACTGAGATAGAATTAAGTCAGGATAGTTGGAACTCCCAAAGTATAAAGTGAAGTATATTTTTTTAAGAAAGAAAAAGAAAAGAATTTCTTGTAGAATATTCAAAAAAACTGCTATTATGCAATTATTTAGAATTATTCTTATAAGCTTTATGTTTTACATGCATTTAGAACCTTTGCTCATAATGTATATGTTATTAAAGTTTCTCCCCCGGTTGTTGAGACTCACTGAGTACAATGGATGGTACTGACGTTCTCTTTTGGGAACCTACGTTGGTCTGCGGTACAATGTAGGAACCGGATTTGCAGGCGAGCAGGCTACGAGTTAGGAATTTCTTCCCTTCCAGTGCTATTGGTGAGCTCCGCTTTTGTTCGTGGAGTATTCCTTAGAGTCATTTTTATTTAGCTATTTCTTTGTTTACTTAGAGAACTGGCCAGGAAATCTCATGTCCTAAGTAGTGCATCAGTTTATCAGTAGAGGCTTCATAGACATAGTCGTTGGGTTAAGATTCAGATGTTTTTGATTATAACTTAGTAGTATTTTATTGGTTACTATGAATAAAGTTTTGAAATTGATTTATGTAAATGTTTAAATTAATCAAAAGTATTTGGTTAGAGTATTACCTTGTTACATATAAAGTTTGGAGTTATAATAGATTTGATAAGAAGAGATGGTTTGTTCGGTCATGTTTAGTAATTGAGTGTCGGTCCCGGCTTGTTCAGAAAATGGGTCGTCACAATAACAGGGTCAATAGATGGTTTAAACCCTACGGTGAAAGGGTATGTATAAACAAAAGAAAGTCATGTCATGTAAGAGGTGATTCTTTGATTTGGATTAGGGATAATAAAAGGGAAATCACTACTCCAATGACAGTCTCTACGAACTACAGAAATCAAACCTTCTGTAATTTGAGTGGGATAAATATCAGCACGATCTAAACTAGAGACTTGGTTCCTAAGAGATTCTTTGTCATGATAAAAAGATAGTTCCGTAGGAACTATCTCCTCTACTGTAGGCTCACGAAGAGGTTCAGAAGGTTCTTTACCTCTTGAAGAAGATCTTTGTGAAAATGAACCCCTAGTTCTAGAAGAAGGGCCAGAACTAGGTTAAGGAGTGGAAGAGCCGTGAACAGATCCTAAATTACGAAGCCTACCTCCCCTTCTGCTTCTAATGGGGGCATTAGGGAAGGTATCAACTATGGGAACCCTTCTAGAGTTAGAATTTGAAGAAGACATGACGAAGGAGGATGATACGATGAAGAAGCAAACAGGGATTTGAGAGATTGAATATTCAGTAAACTTTATGTGGAAAAGACAAATAAAGAAATTATATTTATACTGATAAGCAACCACCGAAGGAAAAAGAGTAATGATGGAAGTACCATAATAATGATAACTGATGCTTCGTAAATAGTGGAGCTGTGAAAAAGCCTTAAAAGGGGCTGCAAAACTGCAGAACTAATGAAAAGGCACGTGTGAAGAGCATTAAATGGAAGTGACAATTGAAGCGTCAATATTGTCATAGCATTAATGGTGACAAAAATTCTCGTTTTAATGAAATTCACTTCCCAAATATTCAATTGATGAATAAGTGGCAAGTGGGGGGACCATCTGTATTGGGAAAAATTGAGTTTACATATTAAAGTGGAATAAAGATGACGTGTCAAGACACGTAGACTCGTCAAAGAGTTACAGCTGGCAAAGAGACACGAGTTGCAACAGATACAAGCAAAGGCAAAGGAAGAGGCACAGGCAGATATTCAAAGGACTCGCCGCCCATACCTATTTAAGTCATTTAGGTCCAGGAATCAAGGAGAATGAATCTGACAATATATGGGAGTACAGATACAGTATTTAATGAGCATTAAATACTGAATACGTTAGAGAATCTGTATTAAATATAATGATTGTGTAACGTAGCATTCAACCTCTTTAATTACTCATAATAGCCTAATTTTGATAAGGGCAAAACGCATATCTCCCAAATAGCTATAAAAGGGAGATAACTGATCAATTGTAGGGCAAGAAATACTATCTGAATATATTAATTTACTTGTTTTTCTTCTGATTATATTATTGCTAGCCAAATTACTTTCTTTTATATATTCTTTTGATTATCAGTAATCCGAATTCTTCTAAATTAAAGCTTTGACCGAAATCCCATTTTTTGTTAAACAACCTATTAGTAAGCCTTGCTCGTTGCATCCATCATTAAATAACTTCATTGTGGTAATTACTAGGTATTGAAATATAACCTATGAAATCCAACTTCAGCAAAAATATGACCATAATTGAGCCTAAAAGAGCAGTATTTAAAGATTCTCAAAAGTTAAGGGGCATTTTGTATGTTCTATATTCGATTGCGAAGATGAAGCCAAAAAATCCAGAATTTATGGCCCTTAATCAAATTGGAAAAATTCAATCATTTCAAATTAATGACAGAAAACAATAAACATTGTCAATTTTTCTGGGTAATTAGATCTTCTAGTTAGTCTTTTCTAAGATAATAATGAAATTCTTTACCATATTATAGCGGAATTAACAACATACAACTCAAAATTTAATTAGGATATTTAGAAAGCCTAACTAATTTATCAAAAACTATAGCTACCACATATAAAATACTCATAATCTAGAAAAGAATAACTAAACTGGAAATGAGTAAAAACACTTACATGAATACACACACACCTGGCGGATAAAACTTGAGAAATTGTTGTGCTTGAAATACCTATATAGCAAAGTAAGTATTAAAATATATGAGAATCGCCTGAGAGAAATGAGAGAGTGAAAGATTAAAACATTAGGGAAGAAACAAGTTGAAGACTACAAGGGCACTTATCAATTACTCGCGGTTAATAGAAATGTTCACAAAAAAAGAAAATAAACAGGAATTAGTGGCAGATAAAATTTATCGGTAAACAACAACATTCATTGATTTAGCAGCGAATTAATGTCAATTTCGAATTATACAAAAAATCTATTAGTTACGAATTATTTAGCGATATAGTTAGCGATGAATTTTCTAACGAATTCTTATTTTTTTAGTAGTTTTAGCCGGTGTTTTAAAAGGAGCGGGCGTAAGGCGAGGCATTTTACATATGCCTCAGCGAGGTGCAAGTCCCGAGGCACAAGGCGTAAGCCCCATGTGTATTTAATTTTTATTATTTCATAAAATAATATAATTACAATAAAATTTTAAATAGGTAAAATTGCATAAAAATTGAAGAAAACTATAAACAATTTAAAAAAAATATATAGATGTGCTCCATCCTTACAAAAAACTAGTCAAAATAATCTATTATATGTTACTTACAAGCACAAATAATTTGAGCGGAAAAGAATAAAGTTTTCTATATGGAGGAACAAAAAGGATGACTAACTTGTAATTTGAACTTTGAACTTGCTGCTATGATGGAGTGTCCTTTGTATTTTGCAAAAAAAAATTGAGTTTTGTTGTTTTTAGGAGATATAGTAACAGATTAGGGGATAAGATAAAGAGTTGGGAAAGACCATAAATTTGGGCTTCTAGCAATAAAAAAGTTAAAATAGCACGGTATAGCCAATTTTCGGATTAGTCATTCAAAAATAGCCAACGTTTAATGAAAAATAACCACTATTTTGCTGCAACAGAGACCGGTCCAGTATAATATACTGGAGTTCGATGCACCTGTGTGTGAACTCTAGCATATTATGCTTGACCGGTATACGTTGCTGACTCCAGTATAATATACTGGAGCATCGGTGCTCCAAACTCTAGTATATTATACTGGATAATTATACTTGCTGAAACTCTAGTATATTATGCTGGAGTTCTAGTGTACTTATGTTGGAACTCCAGTATAATATGCTGGAGTTCAAGCATACTTATGTTGGAACCCCAGTATAATATATTGGCGTATTTTCTGGGTTTTGAACAGTGTTTTCGCTCAGATTATCTTTACATGAAAAGTGGCTAAATTTCGATTACTTTTGAAACTGGGCTATTTTTGAACGACCAGTTGTAAATCTGGCTATTTTTTAATTTCTCCCAATAAAAAAAGGTCTTGTGTTTTAAATTTAATACGTTAGAGTAAATACAAGGTAATTTTTGAGAATTTAGGGTACTATATTAAGGACTTATTCAATAAATTTTATTTTAATTTGAAAAAGTTTCTTGGGCTTACGCCTTACTGAAAAACTCGCCTCAACGCCCATGCATACGTCTCGAATTATAGGCGTACGCCTCTTGAGACTTTTGCCCCCCTCTATCACTTCGGGGCATTTTTGGTGCACCTCGCCTTAGGGTTCGCCCCGAAAATGCCTTTTAAAATACTGGTTTTAAACATATGACACATAATTGGTACAATTTTTCTCCCTTCTTCTCACAAAATGTGCACAATAATTAGTGCTCTACATGTTCGACCTATTACTTAAGGTTTGCTCTCTATCCAACAAGTTTTCTCAGTACTTGCAAATGCTGAAATATTATGCATACCTAATTAGGACTTAAGTAAAATACCCAAAAAAAAAAAAAAAAAAAAAAAAAAAAAAAAAAAAAAAAAAAAAAAACAGAGGAATACATGGGAAAAAAATTAGGAAAGCATAATACTCACAACACTACAACAAAAAAATGGTATTTAAGGGCAATAAAAATTGTCGCAAAAACCTTTATCAGGAATTGCATATTTGCAATATATCCAGTATCCCAAAAAGTTTTAGTGAATATTATTTTGATGAGATATTGGACCATCACATGATTGCAAAATACAAGTGGTTCATAATCAATATAGAATATTGACGGCTGGAATCCTAAATAAATATGCAAAGTTGTAATGGGGAATCCATTGCAAAAGTATGAAAACGATATATTTGTGGGTTGGTTTCACTACTAAGGTAAAAGTTTCGAATGAGAATTTTCTGTGTCTCTTGTGAAGAATGCTACTTCGATATGGTCCATGATTAATTATGATATTTTCAAACCCCTATATTCTTAGATTATTGTTTGAATAATTGACTGATTAACTTAATTATCTTTTTTTTTTTGGCAATCCGCTAGGCAAGCGTCTAGGGCTAGTTTTTTATTAATAAAAGAAAAAAAATACAACAATTAGAAAAGTACAAATAAGGGGGATAATAGTATCGGTATTATTACCATATGCCTTGGCTATATAATTACTCATATGCGCCTCACATTGCCTTATGATGGCAGCCCCATGTAGAGGATTCATGGTGTAGCTGCCGGCAAAGTCTCACGAGGGCATATAATCTCATAGTCGTGTGGATATACCGGGCTAAACCTTACCTTACTAATCCTATTGAGGCTTTGAATAGCCTCACCTACTAACATGCATATAAAAAATAAGAACTGGAAAGTACCAAATATTCAATGATCATCACAGAGTTTATAACATACTCTGTGATGATATTACAAATGAGAATACTAATATACTGGTAGAATAAAATGATGAAAGAATTAAAATGTTGTCCCTTCTTGCCCGAACTTGTAATTTCTTCAATTTGCAACTCTTTTTCATCACAATCTCAATTCTTCAAGATGTATTCAAAATTCATGATTTCTTTTTTGAACGATTGGACTTTGTAGATGTAGTTGGGGCGACCTTCTTTTGTTTAGCAACTCTCATTGGAGGTCGCCTAACATTTAAAAAATCACTAACCTTGTCGTCCCAACTAATTTTCCGTGTATGAGTCCTCTTACCTTTGCCACTATGCATTGGTGATAGATCCTCTTTTCTTGCTGCANTGATAGATCCCCTTTTCTTGCTGCATCTGCTCTACACTGTTGTAACATTGCTTCTTCCTCTCCGTCTTCATACAAGTCTCTCCCCAGGTGCACAAGTTGTGGAACATTTGGGTCGATAACAATTGTCTCCAATGCAGATTGACCTTGTGTATTTGTCATCATTGTCTTGCTTTGATGTTGTTCTATTTTTTGCAATTCGTTCCTGCTCTTACTCAACATTCCAGTGCTAGAAGCAGTAGGATTTACAGGATTTAAGGGATTAGAACTCACCATTGCATCCAAGAGTCTTCTTTCCTCCTCTGAAATATCTGGGATGGTTGTAACAATTTGGTTCTGTCCAAAATTCGTTGTTGTGACTTCTCGATCACGTTGATGAGTAGCAGCAGTATGAGTAACATTTGAAGTGTTGGGAATAACTTGCTGTTGCTGCACAGTAGTTGTAGGTGTTCCAGCTACTGTATTTTGAATAGCTGGAGATGAAGGATTTCTGGGAATAAAAGCAGGAGCATTGGAGTTCAAATTGCTCATTGGACTTGCTGCTGGCATTCTTTCAGATTTTACCATCGCTAAGGAATCAATCTCCTCACCTGCACTATCATGATTAGCCTCACGATCAGCTTCTTCTGATGAATAACCAGCAAAACCATCTCCTCAATCCTCTTCATCATCATCCTCCCGTTGATCTAGCCAAAGTTCGGACGTGATAGCCATCAACCTCAAATTTCCTTGTGTAACTTCATTGTTATTCCCCGTTGATAACATAAGTAGTCCAGTTTCACCTTCAACCGCTCCACAAGATTCCATTGACTGCAAAGGAACCTCAAAAACAGATTTGTTTAAGGTGACCAAAGGTTGTTTGACCATGGGATTATTCATAATCATTTCTTTTTGAACATCTTTAATGATTTGTTCAACCTGTGGATTGGAGAAGTGCAATGTAGGTGCATTGGAGCTGTGTGCCTCTGCATTTTGCGCATCAACAGGAACAATGTCCTTCGAAGTAATGAGTCGTTCACCTGTGTTCTTGGACTTTTGTTGTTGTGTGTTACTGCCTCGAGCTTGTGGTTGCCCATATTTTGGAGTTGTGTTGATCATCATAGATGCATGGGCATTCTCTACCATTTTATCTAGCTCTGTATTGGAAATGTGCATTGTTGTTGTAGGATCATCAGGTACTTGACTTTGCTCATCAAAGTGATATTTATCTGTTGCAGTCCCAAGTCTAGCAGCTAAGTCCTTTGCATTTTTTTGCTGAATTACATTGCATGTAACTCTTGTTTTTCCACCAACTGATTTTGTCTCATCACCCTCATTGACCAATGCATCAAAAGAGTTCGTGACTCCAATGACTGTTGATGGTATAATCTGATTTTGAAGAGCTCGAGTTTGCTTCTTGCTAGGTGATTTACTCACCATTGTCCAATTGTTTTGATTTGATGAAAATTGTTGTTGAGTATTAGGTGCATCATTCGTGCTTGATGAAAGAAATACCTGCCCTGCATTTGCATTCAGTGTTTGGTGCCCAGTTTTACCCCTGCTACTGCTGCATTATTCGGAACAAGATCAGATGTAGCTTTGTTTGGAGATGGATGTGATCGATGCACCACAGACCAATCTCCAGCTTTTGCATTTTGCACACCCTGAGCATCAGATTTTTGTGCGACAACTACCTCCAACTGCCCAGCACTTTTAAACTTGGGATCAATTACTGCTGGATCAACAGTATGTTTCAGAACAGCAGTAGGTTTCAAAGCTCCACGATTAGTTGTCTCTCCTCCTTTATTAGCTTCATTTTTTTAATTTCTTCTTGTGTTACTTGTTGATCCTTTTCCTGCCGTTGGCCATTACAAGATTGCCCAACCTCTTTAACACCAGATCCTCTAATACCAGCAACATCTATACTAGGTGTTTGGACAGCTACTTCAAGAGCAGCAACTTTAGTATTAGGGACCCTTGTAGAAATTGCAACAGCAGGTTTTGTTAATTCCTGTAGAAATTGCCCAAGTGCAACACGATTATCCTTGGGATCTTTAACAGCATGCGCATCTACTTGCAACTCCTCAGAAATCCTGTATAATGTTGCTTCAACTGGAACTATTACACCACCATTAAATACTGCTCCTTCATCAA